ATTTTCCATAAATGATAACTATAGCCGACTTACGCCGACTACAAAATGTTTTTGTAATTTTTTTTAAAATTGGACATAATTGTTCATTTTACAGTAACTTGAATTTTAAAAATTGTCCAATTTATGCTAAAAAAATTATTTTTAAAGGCGAAAACTTTATTTTTTTAATTTAATAGCTACATTAACAATGCAATATTTTAAAAACAAAATCTAGTTAAGCAAATTACCACAGAAAAGTTTTTGACGACCATGTGGCAAAATTGCTGTAGACCAGTGTTATAAATTAGCCAAAAATAATGGCTTAGATATACATTGTACACAAAAGTGTCAAACAAATTCCATAATGGGGACGTTTACCTTGTAGTTTTTAACATTGAAGATTTAATGTTACCCAACATACTTTACATTTTTTACATTTCCCCAATTAATTATTTCCAACCGTGTAAGTAAAATTTATTAAAATATCACTTACGGGCAATTACAACTCGTTAAAACATTCGCTCATACAAGTCGAGGCGAATTTTTATCTTTTTAAGATGCTAATTCAAGATATAATCGCGTAAGCAAATTTCCGCGTGATGTTCTTCAGCGACTTCTCTTCGTTTCGCAGGGACACACGACGATAAGGACCCATCAGTGAAAGTTATTCTCGCGACGTGAAAGTTTTGGATGTAGGTATACGACAAAATCGACACAACTTGTGCTGTACTGTACTAATGTATGGCCTATGGTGTCTATAGACAGTGTAGTAATCAGAAAAATGTAGGGTTTAAATTTAAATTTTACAATAACATTTGTATTATCATAATAATAATCGAAAAATAATGGTACCTACACAGAGAAATTTTTAAATTTAGTACTTTGGGAAAAGTTTAAATTTGAAAAAAATGTTCTTTTCTGAAAAAAAAAACATTGTTTTTTATATTATAAAAAACTTTCACAATAATTAACACAGCGGTTTTTTTTTGTTTTTTTTATAAATTATAGAAAAAAATTATTACACCAAAGAGCAGCCAAAATAGTTTATACTGCCCATAACCTGAAACCAAAATCCGAAACTGCAAAGAGAGACATAGATACTATCTATTAGATAGTCTCTAAAAATGAATTAGTCAAAAATGACTAATTGTCATATCAAAAAAGCAGCCACTAATAATTCTCGTCAATAGCAATTTGTTTCCCGAACATTTAGCAGTCAATTTTCATGTAAAATTGTCCCCTGAATCCGAAAATATCGTCAAAAGTTAACAAAGTAGAACAGTTTTTGAGATATAGTCAATTTTCCATTTAATATGGAATTGACTATATCTCAAAAACTGATCTACTTTCAAAATTTTTTACCGTAATTTAGGATTCAGGGGACAATTTTACATAAGAATTGGCTTAAATTTTGAGATATCATGGTATCCCATGGTTAACCATGGTACAAGTGAAAAAGCTCCCGTCAGACTAAAACTGAGTAAATTGAAATAATTGATTTTGGTATTTTAAATTCTAGATTTGTAATTTTTTTATATAGGTATTATATTGAAATATTGTTGTTGTTAGTCTAGTAGCCAACTACAAGGTCTCCAGGATGCATAGTATAGGTGAAATCTGTAATTATAAATTGAAGATTGCTGACTTTGATATGAATTGCTGGAGATTGCTCATTTTGTTGTAAACGTTTAAGGAGATTTAAAAAAATAAACAAAAAAATAATTGTATTTTTATTCCTTTAATAGTTATAAAATTTAACTATACTATCAATGTGGGAAAATTCTTAACTGGACCACATAAATCTGGAGTTTCTTGTAAATCTGGGACCAGGTTGCCTCATGCAAAAAAGTTTTTTTAGTACAACAACTCATCATCTTCTTCCCACTTTGCTCCGTAATGTTTTACTTGCAATCTTTTGACATAATCAGCCTTTTCTTGCTTTACCTTTACGTCTTATTATGGTATAATAGCACAAAATAAACAAGATAACTTTTTTTATAATTCTTAAAACAATAAAACGTATATAAACCTATTTTAAATATATTTTTAAGTGCAATTTACTGCAATAGAACTTAACAGTATGTACCAGTAAAAAAACACAAAATTAAATCTCTAAAATACGTTATAACATCAAATGTTAGGATATCAGGTGACACAAATTACTAATTTCTAATGGTGGAATTGGAGATTGTATACTTTGCTGCAAATCTATCAGTGGAGATTGTCGACTTTGCACTAAATGTCATTTTTAAAATTGGATTTTAGGCAGGATTTAGCTCCTTATGCGACACATAACTTTATCATCATAGATAATTAGTTGAAGTAGTCTCCGCCAAAAATCTAATTTTTGACCAAAAGTGGAGATTGTCGTTTTGCTATGACAGGCCTCAACTGTAGTAATTAGTTATTTTTGACTAATTCATTTTTAGAGAGTAGGCACAGAAAATATAACTACTACTACTACTACTACTAGTATTGTTGATACTGCAAGTACTATAAGTACAGCTCTTACTGAAATTAGCGATACTGACTTGGAAATGCAAAGTGGCTTATCAATAGTACCTAACAAAGATACCACAGCTATAGTTGACATGGTTGTATATCATCTAGAATCTAGATTCTAGATTATAATTTCGACAGTTCTTTGTCAGGTATCTCTGAAAGCTTTCCTGTACACGACACGTCGAAAGGGCCAGAAGAATTTGACGTTGATTTTGATTATAGTGATTTTGAATAGTAGGTAATGCAGGTTAGGTGCCTAGATTTAGATGCTTTTCTTATAAATAATAGTATATTAAAGAACTAATGTCATAAGACGTCATTTTGTCACAAAAGGTCTTATGACATGAGTTCTTTATGCTATTTTATCTATTTTGCAAAAATTCTATAAAAAATAGTATATTAAAGTACAAGTTGCAGAAGGCCACATATTCTCGCACGAATTCGAAATTTGGCCTCGAGCGACGAAGGAGCGAGTGGACGAACGAATGAGTGCGAGAATAGCCTTCTGCAACGTGTGATTTATACTATTTTCTCGATTTTAACTTTTATTTAGGTTTTTTTAATTGTTTTGTAGTCGTTGTTAGTTAGGGGATTTTTCTCGCAAAATGTCAGTTGGCAACACAAAATGACAATATTTGTTATCCTGCACAAGTACAACCTGAACTGCACTTTTACACATTAAACTTAAAATTTTGCATTAAAATGCATTGTTGGAGCAAACTTTATATTACAAAACAATAATAAAGGCTTCATTTTCAATAAAAGTAATGAATTTGAGGTTATTAATCAGTTTGACATTTTGGGGGTACCAATACTTAAAAACTAAATGTTACCAAAAATCGTTTAAGAATGAGCTTCATTCTTCAACGATTTTGCGTGCGAGAATATGACATTCTTACATAAAAATCGAGAAAATTAATTTTATTTAATTTGGTCGAATTTTACTTTAGGTAGTTGGTTTCATAGTCATTGGTTTGAAGGGTTAATGTCAAAATTAATTCGCCAATTTACTTATTTACAATAAGCGGTTGTTAATGTTAAGGAAGAAAAAAAGGATTTTCTTTGGTGTTAAACAAAATTTATTGCCAGAAAAGTCTCGTAAGTACTAGAAAAATCATAAAAATATTATAACCAATATGCAAAATATTATTTTACTAGTACGCTGTTTAAAGTTGCCAACCTATAAAATCAAAATTTTGGGTGGGGTAAAGTAGTGAATAAAGTCATTATGAACGCAAGATAAAAATTATTTTAATTTTCAAAGGCATGTTTATTTTAGAAGCAAGTTTTTATTTGGTGTTTTTATTTAGAAACCTCTATTTATTATTTCAAAAAGTTTCAAAATTTTTTCTGTTTTAAGTTAAATCTTTTCTCTTATAATCTCTATTAAGAGGAAATGTTTCTAAACCTTTTATTTTTCTTAAAAAACATATTTTTTTTGTTTACATCACTACTTTAAACTAAAGCACTGATTATTTTATTTGTAAAACCAGAACATATTTGGTAATATTATAAGTTATAATTTATAACCATAACTAAACATTTGACCAACTAATAATATTTCGTTAAAATTAATTAATCCCAAATATTAAGGATTTATATTTTATTTTATAGTAACGTTTCATAATTAAGTTAACAATTTATTACTCTATTAATTTAGAATACATTACAATATTAATTTTGAGTTATATTAAAACTGTTCACAATTTATAAATAAATATGTGGTAGTAAAAATTTGGTATTAATTGCCAAACACTATTGAAAACAACTCCTCAAAATTATTTTTCTATGTAGTCGGCTATGCATTTATGTTTTATGTCATTTGTATGACACTTTATGTGATTTATGTTTTATGCCATTCCCTCGGTATTTCCTATCCTATCTTATGCATTTTGTTGGTTATAGTTTAAAACATTAAATTAATTAATTATTTAATTGGTAAGTTAGAAATAGTTAATAATTTTTTCTTTAAACTTTTGTTTTGTGTACCTGTAAAAAAGTAACCTTACTTAGCCTTAAATATAATTACAAAAATGTTTGTATCAAATATTGTCATAGCGAATAATAATTCTCGTCAATAGCAATTTGTATTCAGAACATTTAGCAGTCAATTTCCATGTAAAATTGTCGCCTGAATCCAAAAATGTCGTCAAAAGTTAAAAAAGTATAACAGTTTTTGAGATTTGGTCAATTTTCCATATAATATGGAATTGACTATATCTCAAAAATTGCTTTACTTTAATAATTTTGGACTAAATTTTCGGATTCAGGGGACAGTTTTACATACGAATGGGCTGTTAAATGTTGGGGATACCATGGTATAAGTGAAAAAGCAGCCACTAATAACCGTAGTAACTAGTCATTTTTGACTAATTCATTTTTAGAGAGTTGGTTACGGCACTGTTTAGCACTATTATAGCTATAATAGCTAGCTTGAAATGTATACTTTAATAAATTGATCCCACGACAGCCTAACGTCCATAGAAGGAAGTCTATTATTTTTATTATTACATCTATACCTACTACTAATGCGTATTTCTTAAGATTTCGTATTGCTGAATAGGCGCAGAACTGTTTGTAACTAATCGAGGAATAGGAATTCACCATTGTGTTAAGTTTTCTTAAATCACGTTTTAAATGATGGCCAATTGTTACTTAATACGTGTAAAAAAGTTAATGCATAAGGCTTTTTAAGAAATGTAATTATATTTTTAGGTAATTACAAATTACCTATTTTTTTATTTAGTTTTTTAATTTAAAAAATGAGACTTAAGTATTATTAATAAAAGAAATTTAAATATTTAATTGAACTATACATTTTTTAAGTATTAGAAAACTTTATAAAACTAAATAAATAACACCAGTTAATTTTTGCTCCACCCAATCTAAAGTTTTGTTATTTTATATTCGTATACATATATGTATATTATACATAGGTACTTAATAAGTCACCCGTCACAGGTTTCTTGATACAAAATAATAGGTATTTAAAGTTTTAGAAGTTGTTAAATATCTCTAAAATTATTTAGGTATACCGGGTGTATCTGAGAATGGGCGCACCCCTGTAACTTTTTTATTTATAAAGATTGACACATGAAATTTAGCATGGTTAATAAGGATATAAAATGCCACTTATAAGAGTACAAAATGAATTTTTTGTACTTCCGGTTTCGCCGGAATTGATACCAACTTTCGATTTTTAAATGGAATGCCCTATATATTTTTACGTATTTGGAATCCTGAGGAAATTTTGAGTCAGACAGCATCCTAAAATTGACCTTTTGACGTTTCGTCATCAGAAAATGTATCATCATAAAGATCAATCTAGAGTGCTTTGAACTATCATATTTTCTTCTAATGGATTCACACAATGCCTGAAAAATGAAACTTGCCTTAGAAATTTGTTATTAAGCTATTCCCAGCAGTCTAAAATTGTCAAAATTCGTTTTTCTTAAATAGTTCAAAGCACTCTAGATTGATCTTTATGATAACGCATTTTCTGATGACGAAACGTCGAAAGGTCAATTTGAGGATGCTGTCCGACTTTACTCAGGATTCTAAATATGTAAAAATATATACGGCGTTCCATTTAAATATCGAAAGTTGATATCATTTCAGAAAGTCATTTTGTACTCTTATAAGTGGCATTTTATATCCTAATTAACCATGCAAAATTTCATGTGTCTATCTTTATAAATAAAAAAGTTACAGGGGTGCGCCTATTCTCAGATACACCCGGTATATAGGAAATAGTTATATTAATCCAAAAATCCAATAATAATATACTATTTAATTATGTAAAAACATACCGGGTGTTACTTTTAAAATAAAAAAGTTGTTAACGTTTAAAGTTGGCCTAATTTGCCCTGGGTTTACTAAGGTAATTTGTTGAAAAATGTTAAAAAATTGACACGAAATCTTAAACAATGTTTTAAGATTCCAAAAATTCTACTCCCATATTCGCAAAACCTAATATCAAAAAAGTTATAGGCTATTTTTGATTGACGTGCCTTTCTCAAAATATAACGATAAAAATTAATAACCCGAAAACTAGGTATAGGACATGGAAGTAATATATTATTTTACTAAGAGTTTTATGTAGAATTTAAAAATATAAAAATCCGGTTAAACCGGATATTTTAGAAAAATAAAATGGATATCTTCTTCCGTTTCCCAGAAACTGCTAATGGACCACGAATGTAAAACACCCTGTATAAACACAATTTGCAAAATTTACAAAAAAATTTAAAATATATAATTAGCTACATATATACATATTATGTACATGTACATATGCATATATGTTTCTTTAATCAAAACTTTATTATTAATTTTATAAAAAGCAGAGTTACTTTTTTTTGTTAAATTAACAATAAAAGTTCTCTTGTGGGCACTTAAATTATGCTAAATTATTACCACCCTGTACATTGTACAGTGTACAATGTACAGAAAGTTATTAAATAATATTAATACATGCTATTTTAAGATTTTATAGACTAATATTATTTTTTTAGGAAGCAGAACTTTTATAAAAAGTAATTTTTTTGAATAATAAAATTTTCTTTTTATATGTAGACAACTTGGGCGGACAGTGTGGAGATCTCCATTATATACAAGCTAAACCGCCAAAACCTTTTGGAGGATTTGTTTTGAAGGTTGCATAGAATCGACTTTTCTCGATTTTATCCCAGATCAAATTGTTCGGTCAAAATTTGTCGCACAGTGTTATTTTATTTTCATGCGGAATAATATTTTTTTATTTCTTCGCAGTTTTTTTCAATGTTTTAATTTATACCTATATGTTTGTATATAGTTAATTAAAAACACCTTAAAGCAAAACAAATTAACTTTTTTGATTCAATAATGTGTTAATTATTTTGATTACAAAATTCTAATGACCATCTTTAAACGGTAGACCTTTATAATTAAACACGTACAATAAATCAATTATCGGATACTTTGATCAATAAATCAGTTAAATGGAAAAACACCTTTATAAATAAGTACCTATAGGTATACTTAACAGTTTTTGGATATAGAAACTCCTGCAGGCCTGTTTAAATACATTTTCATATATTTTAAAAAATGCTATAGCATATATGCTATAATGTATTGGACATTGATAAAGCTTATTTTACAGTTTTTAACGAAACAGTATGCTGTTTTAAAAATCATCGAAACATTTTTTAAATATATTTAATTAAAAATATCATCATCATTTTTATTTTTAATTGAATCAATTTATTAATTCATGTCAAGATCGTCAAATAACATTTATTAGTAAAGTAAAATACTTTTTTTATTGCATATTAATAAATACAATGGTAATAAAATACCTGATTATTAATAAATCAAAATAATAAAAAACCTCTTAAGAAAATGTCTAGACTTGTACGGTACTTTTTAAATTTATTGTTTTATTATATGGTAAATAATTTGCTTATTAATTGCTAATTGAGTGTTAATCAAAATAATACCTATTGTTAAAATAATTACACAAAGATATACACTTTTTATATAGTAATTTTATAAATTTTGTTTGTGTATTCTTATATCTATTTCAAAAAACCTCCTATAGGAGGTCTATAGACTGTAAAAAACCGCTTTAGACCAATAAAAAAAAATTCGACTAGTGTCAGATGTAATCTAACTTCAGTATCTACTTTTAATTATTATAATTGTACGTTTAATGTTTGGTTTAACAAATAAAATTATGTCTTGAAGATAAAAACGAACCTAGGTTTTAAATGAAACTATTAATTTTTATGAATCAAAAGCAAGTAACTTTGATTAAACAATTAATACAAAACATGAGCTACTCGTAAACATCACCAACGCTTTATGATGATCGTAAAATTTAATTTAACTTGATAATATAGTTATCGCTATTTACATCTGCATCGAAAATGTTTCCTTGATGCAAGTAGCATGTATTTTAATTGAATTTATATGGGTTTTAAGGATTTCCTTACTTTGAGTTTATTAACGAGATAAAACTTATCTAAACCTCTACAGACGGAAATGGCAGCATAATTTACAATTATTATATACCCAAAAGAAATTACTGACCCATACCAACTTAAATAATTTTGTTAGGTCAAAAACGAAAAAAAAAATAATATTTTAAATGTTAAACACTTGAAAAAAGAATAAAAATAAAACAAATTAAACTTGAATCTTGAATGAGAACAAACAAACTTAAAGGTCGGTGATAGCTGAAAATCCAGATTGACATTTCGCAAGGTTTTTTTAATTTTTTGTTTTGTAATTTTTTTAATGAAACCTTAAATTATCTTTAAACAAGTACAATTTAAAATGCATATAACATTTAAAATTAAAAAAAAATCACAGAATGTTCTAGCTGTGACAAAATCAGCACAAATTTTATTATCGGATTTATAAATAGAATACATTAAAAATCCCACAAAAACAATTTTTTGCTCATTAACATAAATTTATAGAATCAATTAAAAGGATGACATTTAGAGGGAGCAAATTGCGCTATTTTTTATAATATTCATAATTATTTTCATGGACTTTTGCTAAATGCAAAATTAACATAAATAAAAGATTTTTTAATATGCAGCCGAATCTGCATTTATAAATTCATAAGATTTTGTTTGTTATTGAACTTGGACTAAAACATAGAGTTGGTTTACGTGCAAAAAGTAGTTTAAAGTGCAAGTTTCTCTGGTGGTGCATTTGAGTTTTATATCGTATTATATTATTATCGTTATTATCGTAAACTATAAAAATGTTCTTACGGCCATAAATCGTATTTATATTCATGTGAAATATTATAAATAATTAAATTGCTCATTTTTGGGATCCAAAATCCATAAAAAATATACTTAAGGTCAATATCTACACAACAAGGTCTATTCTATCTCGTTTCGCGCATTCTAAAAATCACGGTAAGTTAGGCAACCTACTGCCCAGACTCTGACGGCGGCCATTTTTATGTTGTTAACAATTCTTGTGCTTCAAGGCTATTTACTATATCCACAAATTAACCTTAAACACATTTGACATTTGACAGTTTGATGACAGCCCCGATAGAATACACTAAAGAAGTATTTATTTTTTACAAAAAAGAGTAACATGGTTGTCTTTAGCCCAAGTGTGTCTGTAAGAAACATAACGTTTAAAACAATTTTTAATTTGTATAAACTGCACAAACCCAAAGCACAAGAATTGTAAACAACATAAAAATGGTCGGAGTTAGAGTGGATTGCACTCAAGGTAATCCTAGAGCTTGTTTTAATATCAAAATTGTCAATTTTGAGAATTTAAGGGTGAAATAAATTTTAAAATAAAGAGTACCTACTCAGAGCTGGCCAAATACTGAGTACTTTTACTCGTATTTCAATTACGAGTAAAAAAGTACGAGTACTTTTTTACTCATAAGTATTTTTCATTTGAAATACTTATTACTCGTACTTACAAACCAAATTCAATGTACTCGTAAAAAATACTCGTGGAATTCACGAGCAATATATACGAGTATTTTTGTTTATTATATGGATGACTTTAAGCCAAAATATCGTAAGAATCAAAACATGTTTTTTTGTTTTAAATTATATAATATATAGTATAGGGGCATTCCACGTTACTCGGTAATTTTTGTCCCGCCCGTCACAATTAAAAATTGTTAGTAAAAACCGCAAATTATAAAATTAATATTTTATAATATTATTTTTATTGTGCTTATAACTTATTAAAAGCATAATAAAACAATATTTTAAAATAAATTTTATAACGTGTAGTTTTTACTTACTTTATTGTGACGGGCGGGACAAAAATCCCCGAGTAACGTGGAATGACCCTATAAATTATAGGGTCATATTATAGGCTATAATATAATATATTATAGCCTATAGGTTTAATAACAAGTATATAGGTAAAATTATAAACTATTTAAAAATTGTTATTATTTTATGTACAGTTGTATTCAATAAAAAAGCGTACAAGAATTAGAATGAGAGAAAACGTGTCAAAATAATATTATTGCTTAAAACCAGCTTATCACTGACATAAGTCATTAAAATAATTACTATAGGTTATAAAGAGCATTGACGTCGTAGGTTAATTAAATAATATTACAAAAATTATTAATTTTTAATATAGATTTTTTATTTCTATTATACCAGGGTACGAATTGACCATTCTTCTTCGATTCTTGATACTATTTGAGCCTTTTAAACTGACGAGGCATTTTTATTTTCTACTGTCAGTTATAGTGACTTAAGTCAGTGGAAAGCCGGTTTTACGCAATAATGTTGACAGTTTTCTCTCATTCTAATTCTTGTACGCTTTTTTAATGAATACAACTGTACATAATGTTTAAAATAAATAATTTTATAAATTTGTATTTGTATTTTTATGGATCAGGACAAGGGCGCCCACAGAAAATTGTCTAGGGGGGGCAACAACTATAAATGACAGTCGACAAATTTAAGACAAATATTTTTTATTAAACCATTTAAAAACATTTAGTTGAACCTGCTTAACTTCGATATTTATTTTTGTACCAAGTTAAGAGCAAATAGGGACCAAGAAGAAACAAAAAAATACCTTATTTTTATTTATAAATAATAATCGGCAATAATAAAAATATAATGTTACATAGTGTTTTTGTAGAAGTAGGAAGTAGCTAATTGCTATAAGCAATTCAAGATCTCTGATATATTGAAAATATGATCATATTTTCGGAAATATTTTATTTTGGTAATAAATGCGAAGAAATTTTCAGGGGGGGGCAAGTGCCCAATCTTGCCCCCCCTCCGGGCGCCCATTTTCGCAAATATTTTATTTTGGTAATAAATGCGAAGAAATATCCAAGGGGGCAAGTGCCCCATCTTGCCCCCCGCTCCGGGCGCCCTTGGCTCAGGATCAAAGTATGTATACATAATATGTATACATATTATGTATATAGTGTACACTCTCTAAAAATGAATTAGTCAAAAATGACTAATTACCACAGTTATTAGTGGAAATTAGTGAAAATACCGTAAAAAATTATGAAGTGGAGCAGTTTTTGAGATATATTCAATTCCATATTATTCTACTTTTCTAACTTTTGATGACATTTTCGGATTCAGGGAATAATTTTAGATGGAAATTGACTGCTAAATGTTAAAAATACAAATTGCTATTGTCGAGAATTATTAGTGGCTGCTTTTTCGCTATGACAATTAGTCATTTTTGACTAACCCATTTTTAGAGAGTAAAGAATAATCAATTATATTAACTAACTTTTTTTTTCAAAAGTACTCGTACTCTTTACTCGTGTTTTCACTATTACTACTCGTAACCGTAACCTTTCTTTACAAATGTACTTACGAGTAAAGTACTTACTAGTAAATATTTTAAGTACTCGTACTTAAAATTTTACGAATACTTTTTTTAGTACTCGTGCCCAGCTCTGGTACCTACCTAATAATTAAAATTCATTAAAATAAGTGGGTCAGCTTAATTATACCAAGTGAGAATGCCATTTTAAAAATCACGTTTTTTTCTTTTAAAACCTCCAACATTAAATTTTGTTGGCTTAACTTGATAACATTATAGGGGTGGAATTTCATTTTTTTCTTCTAAATTTTTATTTCACCCCTATAAAATCATGGTTGTTTATAAGTAGCTCCCCACAGCCATCCACAAAAGTTTTAGTTAGGTATGTTGGAGATATGTGAAGAAAACGCTTATTGTTTTTACTTAATACTGTCCACTTTTCTTAATAAATTTCCATTAATAATCTTAGTTTAAAATGAGACATAATTATCTCATTATAGCATTAATGCGCATAATCTTGAGTGTAAAACTCCATATGCTTTATCTACTACAATAAGTAGATAATTAAATAATTAAAAAAAAAAAAAAAAAAATCTGACATCTGTCAAATGTTTAACCTCACTTTTTACCAATTTAAATATTTTTATAGTCGCCTTCCCCCAATTTAAAATCCGATTGGTTTAAATCACAATGAATATTGAAATGGGCCAATCACTGATGCCTGACAACGTGAATAATGAGTTCATTATTCCCGTTGTTATGCAGGAAGTTTTTAATGTTTATCATTATATACGAAAAAACCCAACGCCATTTTAGGCACGAATTTAATTTAGGCACGAGGGAGCTTGCGAGCGAGTGCTTAATTAAATGAGTGCCTAGAAAAGTTTATAAATGAGTTGCAAACAATACTTTTTCTACGACAAATACCTAATATTATATAAAAATGATATAAATTTAATATTTGTATAAAGCGACATCTATACGAAAATAAAGTAACCATCCCAATAAACATTTTTGACGTAATTTTCACCATTAACATTGTCCGTTATTATTTTAATTAAACTTAACAATAATTGTTAAGTTAATTATTATTGATACCTATAAATATTAAAATTATTGATACTTAAAAATATTAAAATTACTTCAAAATATGATTATGTTAGGAAAATATTTTATCCTTTAATTAAAGGTACAAAAAGTTACAGATGTATTTATTGGAATTCCCGTTAGAATTTTTAACTTGAGAATCTACCGGCGTTAAAATCTCAAATTTTTCTGTGTAAATCAAAATGTATCCCTTGAAAATAGACTAACAACCGATTTAGATGCAGTTTTTTACAGTAAAAGAGAAGATAATGTTTTATGGGCACTGTACGCTTTATTATATAGTATTTGTATTTTTGTATTGAGATAATAAAATAATTTTCACATTTAGTACTATTTTCCAAGAAAGGCCTTTATTTTAACGATTGGATGACATTTGACAAATGTTCCCTATTTAAAAAACTTCAGCCCGTGACTAAAAACCTGTTGCTTACTTCAGCCTGTGACTAAAGCGCCGTAAAGCCACAACTTGTCAATTTGTATTTGAAAGGTCATGGAAACATGTACGTTTTAATGATGGGAGTATATGCATTATGCATAATATACTTCTTTTTACATCGGTCTACACCTAAACGAAATGAGTCATTTTCGTAATTTTGTTTTTATTCGACCATATATTACATAAAATGACAAGATTATGTATAAAAAGCATTAATTATTAAAAATTAGTATCCGGCTTGCTAAAAAATGTTTATGTTTGTGTTTAAATATTTTGAGTGGTTAGCATTTTTGTTGCAGGCTGGTTTTCGACCTTTTTTATGAATATATAATTAATAGTCAAATTTTCTGGTTTACAGTTTTATCTATTAAAAAACATAAAATTGATTGGTCTATTTGTTTTATTGCAATTCGCAAAGATTAATTTTCTAAAATGATAAGAATCAAAACATAAAACGGGTCTTTTTTATTCTTCTTATATAACCAAATTCTTGGTCCATCGGATTGTAGATCGAATTCGAAAATATCTATATCACTCTCTTAAAGGTGAACGCTTTTCGTTGACACCTGTTAGCGGATGGCAAGGTCATGATTCTTACTAATATTTATTTTTTGAATACATTTGAATATTCATCTAAATGTTAACCTGTGAGATATGTGACCGCATCGATCGTCCTTGCTAAAAGGATCTAGAAAAGGGGGGAGGCCATATAAAACCAAATTTTTCAGAAAAATCAAGTCATTCAGCACCGGCGGCAACATGAAATTTTTGGTGGTAAGTAACTCTTCCAGTGAAAAAGTGATACAGTGAACAGTGCCATCGGGATTAAAACGCTTCTCCAGGATATAGTTTTAATCTTGATTTTGTGTTTTTCAGCTCGCATTCGCCCTCGTGGCCGTAGCCACAGCTAGACACACTGGCGCGAAAAAAATCGCCCGCCAAAGTTTGTTCGCCAGTCCCACACCACCCACCGGCGCTCAACAGCTGCCCGCCGACGGAACAGCCGCCCCATTCTTGAACAACTTCAACTTGAACAGCGGTCCCAGCGTACACTACTCCATCGATGCCAGTTCTTTGGCCGGTTTGGACGCCTCCAAACTCGACCAGTTGATGTTGGATGTCTCTGGTTTGGGCGAAGAACACGCCGATGTTAAACAACTCGGAAGTCTTTCTCTGTCTGCTTTGTCCCAGTTGAAGAACGGCATTTCCGCTACGGCTCTTCCCGCTTTGGCTGGCGCCTTCAAATCTGGAGGTAACGTACAAGTTTTAGCTGAAAGCAACACTCCCTCATCCGTTGATCTTGGATTCAACTCTGTAAGCTCCACCACCGCTTCGCCACTTGGTGTTGATTTGGGTTTTAACTCTGTAAGCTCTACCACCGCCGCTCCTCTTGATGTTAACCTAGGTTTCAACTCCTTCAGCACTACCCCTGCTCCTCTTGCATACAATAACTTGCAATACTCTACCACCGCATCTCCTTTGGCCTTCAACAATTTGGCTTTCTCCACCACTCAAGCTCCCTTGTCTTACAACAATTTGCAATACTCCACCACCGCATCTCCAGTCAACACTTTCTTGAACTCAATCTCTACCACACCATCTCCATTATACTCCAACAACTTGGGTTTGAACAACTACAACTTGGGTAACTTGGGAATAAGCTCCTACAACCAAGGACAAAGTGGTAGCTACAACTTGGGTAACTTGGGGGTAAGCACCTACAACCAAGGAGAAAGTGGTAACATCCAACCAATCTTCCAATCCAACTTCAACGACCAATTCCAACCTGAATCGCAAGGCGTCGACAAGCATTTGTACTTCTACTCAGCCCCGGAAGACGAGGAAATTCCAGCTCCACGCATCATCCTCCCGCAAAAACAAAAGAAAAACGTCAAGGTAATCTTCGTTAAAGCCCCTACCTTCAAACACGCTCCAACACCAATCATCGCGCCGCAAGCCCTTCAGAAACCAGAAGAGAAGACCGTTGTGTACGTTTTGGTTAAGAAACCTGAAGCTCCAGCACCAATCGTACTCCCAACTCCACCACCAACTCAACCCAGCAAACCTGAAGTTGTGTTTATCAAGTACAAGAACCAACAGGAAGCCGAGCAAGCCGTAAGCGAGATCCAACAACAGCAAAACGAAGGCATCGAGGCAAACCTCAGATTGAACAACGGCGTTTCCGGTAGCTCTCACTACTCCTCCTCCGATTTCTTAAGCTCCATTGGACAAGGTTCCATCCAAGAACGTTTCGGAGGTTTGTCGCCAGTAAACAACTTTGGTTTCAATACCTTCTCTACCTCCACCGCCAGCCCAATCAGCTTCAACAGCTTCTCCACTACCCCTGCACCTTTGCTCAACGGTTTTAACACTTATTCATCCTCCGCCGCCCCAGCTATCTTCAACGGTTTCAACACTGTATCATCCACACCAGCTCCATTGTTCAACAGCGGTTTATATTCTACCACAGCAGTCCCAGCCTTTAATGATGCTTCTTTCGCATCTTCCACAGTTGCACCATTCAACAGCGGATTCAACGATGCAGCCATTGTTTCTTCCACTCCAGCTGCCTTCAATTTCAACTCGTACAGTACCACCCCAAGTCCACTGAACAAAGTAAACCTTTTCAACAACGCATTTAACTCTGCCAATCCAAGTGTGTCTCGTTTGAACAACGGTTTGTCCGGTTTTAACTCCATAAATAGCTTGGCATCTTCTTCTACTCCAGCCCCAGAGGTTATTGAATCATCCACTCCTTCATCGGTGTCCTCCACCACTGGTGCCGCCGGTACCCTTTTCGATAGCTTCGGAATCGACAATGAAGAACAAGAAAGCGGAAGCGAGAACACAGTCTCAATTGCTGCACATCCGGTGTACGGAGTGCCAAAATTCAACAGCAAGAAATAAAATATTTAGATATATTTAGGATAATTTAATTAATTTATATAACTATGATAAAAATAAAGACTTGATGTATATAATTTTAAAATAAAAATCGAAAAATATTCTTTGGTTGCATCATTTTGGTGATATTTTCGTTAAATATGAATTAATTTTTATTAGGTAACTTAACTGAATTAATTTACCGGTTATTTAATTCAAATATATAGATTATTGCCACGGTGTTAATATATGCCGGGATCTTTACCGATTGGACCTTTACAGATTTTTTATTGCGTGTTTTTTATCTATAACATTTGAATATTTAATTTGTTGTTCTAATAAATATTCCACATTAATGTGATGTCCAAAACATTTCAAATTATGTAAAAAATCATCGAAAGAGTAAATTCCTGAAATATACATTAATTAATATAAGATTTTACATTTGACACACACAGTATATCAGAGATTCTAAATGCAAAGCTCAAATTTTTTTTGCCTGATGTAAAAAATTCTTTAATTTATATACAGGCGCCGAAAGATGAAGATTAAAATTAATGATAAATGGATACATTAATTTTTTTATTAAATTCCACTTACTCAAACAACTTTGTAAATAAATCAGAAAAATTAAAAATTCAAACCTCCCTTGGATATTTTAAATTTTTAATGATTAAATTTTATATTTATAAATCCTGACATACAGGGCCGGATTTAGGCATGGGCCACATGGGCCCGAGCCCAGGGCGGCAAATTTTGAAGGCTAGTTAAAATTTTGCTAAAAAATCAAGAGCGTTTTATGCAGAATTTTTGTTTCACTCAGATTTATACACTAATTAAAACTATTAAAAGTGGGAAGAGAAGTTTTTTAATCCATTAGATAATTTTATATCAGACTATACTATTATTATTCTGCGTAGTGCGTCACTGCGTAGAAGGGCGGCAGTCGATGTACACGAGGCGAGTGGGGCGCGACTCTAGCTTATTCGCTGAGTCATTCGTTATTCGGGGTAATGATGCGTTGGGCCCATGGGCGGCAAATTCGTAAATCCGGCTCTGCTGACATATTTATTTGCGAATTTTGTTTTTTGCGTAGAGATAGTATACGGAGAGGAGATAAAAAAGGCTACTCTTGTTGTTTTTTTTATTTTAATTTTTTGTCTTTTTTGATTATTTTTTTAAATTCCCAGAACCTGGGTGTATGTACTTTAGGGTGTCCGATATTTACCACTTGTTTTTTTTGACCTAAAAAAATTATTAAAAAAATTATAAAAAAAATATTTATATAAATATTTATATAAATTATTAAAAAAATTATAAAAAAAATATTTATATAAACCGTATTAACCGTATTAAACCGTGCCACAAAGACGATACATTTTCCATTTAAATAACATGGGGTTTCGGCAACTTTTATATTTACTTTTTTTTCTCCCGAGTAAGTTAATATACAGCAAAAATTGATGCACATTTTTATATGAAATTGAACGCTGGACAAAAAAGCTCTCATATGATTTTTCGATAAATTCACTTCACCAGGCACGGGAATTTTTAAATCAACATTATAGAAATCGCTGGATAGGGCGCGGAGGAACACAATCGTGGCCACCTAGATCGCCAGACCTAAACTGTCTAGATTTTTTCCTATGGGGACATATTAGGGCGTTGGTTTACAGCACCCCAATAAATACTGAGGAGAAGTTGAGAAACCGCATAATAGTTTGTTGTGACACTATCAGAAATACTCCAGGAATTTTTCTAAGGGTACCAAACTCAATGAGGAGAAGAGCTGAAGCATGCATACTTGCAGGTGGTGGCCACTTTCAACAGCTAATCTAAATTATTTTTGTTTTTGTTTACGTTATTTAATGTTAGTTCTTTTAAAATTATTTTATAATTAAATTTAATTTTAATGTTTATTTAATCATGGCATTGTTTTCTTAATATGCGCATTAAATGCTTTTTATTTTTTTCATCGAAACCGTTAGTCGTACAAAAAATGATCAAGAAATCAAATTTGCCCTAAAATGAATGGGGATTTAAAAAATAATTTTTATTTTGAAAAATAGCATTGGCGTGCATAATATTTTTCCAAAAATATCTAGACCACATCCTGTACGGACGCCACTGGTAAAAAAAAATTAAAATCTTCTACATCAAAAACTTACTGTTAATGCTTAGAAGGCGTGTGCCAAATTTTATAAAAATATCTAGAAAGTTATTAAAGTTATGATAAAAAAACGATTTTTTTCTTAAAACTCAAAAATTAAGAGGTTTAGGTCATAGGTTTATTTAAACTTTTTTTCTTAAAATCAACTAAGGATTCACACCCTTATGGTTCAGCATCTTATTCTGAAACACCCTGTATGTGAAACTTATTGACAAGAGATTCCGATAAATTAAATTTTTTTTATTACATTAAAAGAATCTAGTTTTACTCAAATTTAGTACGATTACTTTTTTTACATAATCTTTTAATTTTTGTGAAATTTTACAAAATTTTATACGATTTTACGAAAAAATTAAAGTTGTAGTTACGCATGCGCACTAAAGTATTATTTAGTACTTTGATCACAGAAGGCAGAAGTCGCACTTCACAGATTTTGTGTCGCAAAGTTGAAGTTTGAAGTAGGTCATTCACCCATCGTCTGTGGCATCTTTTATATGAGTACCTTAGATGCAAAACTCGGTTTTTGCAAATTAAAAAATAAAATAAAATTGACTTTAAATTCTGTTTAGTGTTCGTCCTAGATAAATGGCGTTCATAAAACTTGATACATAATAATATTATATTATATATATTATTATGTATCAAGTTTTATAAACGCCATTTATCTAGGACGAACACCAAACAGAATTTAAAGCCAATTTTTTTTTTTTTAAATTTGCAAAAACCGAGTTTTGCATCTAATGTACTCATATAATAGTATAGGTACTATCGCTAACAAAAAAAACTCATACAGCTGAAAAATCTAGTGTTCCTGATTTTCTATCATTTCGTTGGAGTAATTATGGCTTTTAACATGATACGTCACATTTGAAAGGTCTAAAATTAAATACAAAGTTAGGTTGAAGTTTGAAAAAAAATAATATTTCTTCATCCCTCTGTTTTGTCAATTACTGCCCGCAAACGGCATGGAAGTCGCCGTCTTGCTTTATCTCGTTCCAAATGGCTTCAATGGCTTGCCAGAGTTCGTCTGCATTGTTTGGTTGAAAATGTTGTTAAAAAAGTCATAATGGATGTGACAAAGCTCGATGTCAGCTTGACATTGACGGAAAAGTTTTATTCACACAGCCACAATATAGCTGTATGAGTTTTTTTTGTTAGCGATAGTATTATGTATCAAGTTTTATAAACGCCATTTTAGTTACGAGTTTTACTAGGCACGAGCGAAGCTTATTAAAAACGAGTGTCTAGATAAGTTTATAAAACAAATTGCATACTAAGTATACTTTATCTACGAGAAACACAAAAAATAAATTAAAGCAATTATATTTGTTAAAAATTTGACATCTGTCAAATGTCAACGAAATTAACTTCACTTTTCTCTAATATATAATAAAGCTAATTTCAGCCCGTGACTAAAATGCCCAAAAGCCACTACTTATTGCCAACTTCAGCCCGTGACTAAAGCGCCATAAAGTCACAGCTCGTCAATGTAGAAGTAGATAAATACATGTAACTTATTTGAAAAGCGTAATTGGTGTAGCGGAAATGTATACATCTTATACTCAAGACAACGTATGTGTAACTACGAATTTTATTTTGTCGTAAAAATAATTGTTAAAAGAATTTCTACGTCATTAGCTAGGATAACTTTTTATTGTATAATATTTTATAAAATCGTATAAAATTTTGTAGAATCTCACAGAAATAAAAAGATTATGTAAAAAAGTAATCATAATAAAATTGAGTAAAACTGGTACCAGATTCTTTTAATGTAATAAAAAAATTGAATTTATCTGAATCTCTTCTCAATAATTTTTACTTATTTGTTTTCAATAATTTTTATTTTTTCAATAATACAATAAAATCCCATATTTTCAAAATTAAACAATTCATTTTCATAAAAAATAGTTATAATTTTACAGTCAAAGTAAAAAAGTTTTAAAATTTTTTTTTAGGTCATAAACTAAAAATTTAGGGGGTGCTGCGAACAAAAAAATCAAGTTGGTAAATAACGGACAGCCTAATGTACTTATTTGTGTTTTTCAGTTTTTTATACTTCCTAGGACGTTGTTAAACTTTCAAATATTAGGATTTTTGTTGTGTTTTTTGCGGTGTTGTAAACTTTATAAAAAATCTCAGAACTTCAAAGATCAAAATTTAGAGTAAGTGATTTTTTTAAACTTTTTTATTTTTAAATTTTTCTCCCAAAAATTTCCAGAATCTGTGCTTTTGATTTCAAATAATTTTTGTAAAAAAATACAAAATTGTACAATTTAATCTATATTTACCAAAAAAAAAAAACATAGCTGAGGTATTGCAGGATTAAAAATTTATCCAAAATTTAAATCAGTTGTATCATCTAACCCAGTTAACTGGAGGTAAACTGCGTTTTTATTAATTTGTTTCATTATTTCGCAATTATTTTGATCGACCAAAGGTGGACATCAAACATTTTATTCACAAAAAATCGCATAACTTAAATATGATTAAGATTTTATTCCCACAGAATATTTAATTTATTATTTATATTATAAAACAAGGATTTAATTATATTTTTTATATTTTTATTAGTTTTCTGCAGATAGGTATAAAATCAATAAGTACAGCTCTCCCTTTCAAAAACAATATAAAATTTGGTGATTAGTAAAATTAATTAGAAGGAAAACATTTCTTAAATAACTTAGAAAGCTGCGATCATGTACATTTCCAAGCAGCTAAGATTTATTTGTGGTGGGTCCCTTTTAAGGTTTCGTTAAAAATGCCGCATATGGCTGTATTTATAGTCAGTCACTTGCATATTTAATTATGCTGTTCAGGTGCCCAATTATGGAAAATTAACGGGTTGTGATGGGAAAATACCAAAATCAAGAGACACGATCACACAATTTTAAATAAGCGGTTGTTTTATGAATTATGTAAGTTGGCGATACTGGATGCATAATTTTGCACAAAATTGCTTGAGTTTCTAGATAATTAAGTAAGTATGGGTATTAAAGTAAATTGCCCAAAAATTCACTTCACTGTATGTAAAAATCAAACTTTTAAATTTGAGCATTTAAAAATTTATTCACAGGAAGGTATATTTTTCATTTAACCAAAAATATTAAGCTTACTAAAAGTTCTGTTAAGTTACAATTGAGAATTTCTAATAGCCAGTACTACGTACTATGCTCCACACCTCAAAGTCCCACCACGTGACCACGTACGGAACGCAGTCTTTTGAAAATTTGGCATTTAAGGCTTTTCAGGTTATGTATCTGTAAAAGTATAGTCAACGAAAGAAATAGTATTATGTTTGGGCGTTAAAAATGCATAAATCTTTATAACATTAGAATATCAATGGATGGTTTAAGAATTTAAGAATATAAATACTAATTCTAAAGTGTATGGTTCCAAATAAGTAATATTTTTGTGCATTTGGTCCAAATATCTGGTTTTCTCCATAAAATAATTTTAAATAAACAGCATTTATTTAAAAAAAATCTAGCTTCTCTATTATGGAATAAGAATATCTGTATTAAAGGTAGGTTAATATATTATAACAAAAATATCATCAAATTTTGTAATTTTAAGGTTAGAAAAATTTATTTTGACCAAAATAAATAAGTATTTTGGATTATTTAAAAGACTGTATAATATGGTATTTAAAAATGTGGCAGTTTTTCTTATCCAGCTTAAAGTGTACCTACATAAAGTTTTGTCAATACAAATAGTTAAAAAGCTTCGACTGAATTTGATCTACATCAAAAAATCATTATAACTTTAAAAATTTTAATAAATCACATGTCATGGGAGTATTACATATTTTCACATTGCAAGTTTCTCTAAAAATTGTTTGTTTTCTTATAATCTAAATTAAAGTAAGTATGCCGAGAGGTATATATGCACAAGTTTTGTCGTTAGAATAATAAAAGCTTCAATTTAATTTGAACTATATTCAACAATTATTTAGTACACCTATATTTATTTATGACCATATTAACCAACTCTTTCAAATAATCGACTTATTTATTTTGGTCAAAATAGATTTTTCTAACCTTAAAATACAAAATCTGTGTTCTAATACATTAACCTACCTTTGATACAGATATTCTTATTTCATAATAGAGAAGTTAGATTTTTTTTAATAAATGCTGTTTAGTTAAAACTATTTTATGGAGAAATGTAGACCCAATGCACAAAAATATCACTTACATATATTGCACCTTATCGTCCGGGAGGCAGTGAAGATTTTTATCTTCTTATTTTTCCAGTTTGTGAATGTCTTTAAGTTTGTTCATTAAATGGTGACACAAAACGACAATTTGTGTGTCTGGCTAAAATTTTCGGATGGGTTCACTAGATGAGCCAAAAAGTCAAGTCCACTTATTTTCCCAGTCATAAATATTTCACATTAATTAAAGTGAGTCATTTTATTAATGGAAATAACAGTCTGGCACATCCCAAGTGAAGGAAAGTCGGTCTGGCTGAAAATTTGCGGAAGCAAAAATTTGACCGGTTTTGAAATACGTAGCCCTTATTTTCCCATGCTTAAAATTTAACCCATTATTTGGTACTGTCATAAACTATAATCAAAATTAAGTCTGGCTGATTTATGAAATTTGCAAATTGTTCTGGCGGCATCTTGAAAATCGTGAGAATTACAAAAATTTTGCTCTTATTTTCCCGGATTTGAAAATTTGTCACATGATAAATAATACTATAATTTCGTAGAAAATACACGTCTGGCTGTTATTTACAATCACGAAAGCCCCGCCAGAAGTTTTTTGGTAGCGGTCATATTTAAATTTTGCTTTACACAAATTATTTTCTTATCATACATTATGAAAAGTAAAAACATGTAGAGATGACAACAATCGCCTGTATAATTGAACATGCCGAATTTAGCGCGCCTGTGGAGGGTTGGACGAGTCTGGCAAGGCTTTCGGAGTGTTCCACATTAGCCAGACTATATTTGCAGCTGTAATTATAATATAAACTATCATCTCACCAAATTTTTAGCACTGCGAAAATAAGGGCAATGGTTTTGATAATTTTTCCACTTGCCAGACATATTACCCATACTCACAGATTAGCCAGACTATTTTTTTTCTTAAGTTCACTATATCTCTCACTAATGGAATTATTTTATCACTGGAAAAAAAAGTGCAATATATTTGTACTTTATAACGCATTTTCCGCCTTAACCCATCGGAAAACCCCCCCCTAAATATATATAAATTTTGCTCAGAATAACAAACCCAATAATTGTATCGGTGTTTGCCGACTGGGAAAATAAGTACCGAAAATCTTCACTGCCTCCCGGACTATTACACTTTGGAATTTCATTAAATGCAGTATTTATATTCCTAAATTCTTAAACCAACCATTGTTATTGTGATACTATAAAGATTTATTAACTTTTAACGCTTAAACATAAGCGGTAACACTATAAATATTATTTCTTTCAATGACTATACTTTGACATATACATAATCTGAAAAGCCTTAAAGTGGTCACGTGGTGGGACTTTGAGGTGTGGAGCATAGTACATCTTGTAAAAGCTAAGTTGGTATTTTGTGGAAATAATAAACGAGTTTATTATAAAAATACATTTATTTGTCACCGCTTTTGCTTATCATCCTAAAACTAACATTAATATTTATAAAGTAGTACATACATAAGTATATGAATATTACAATGTGTATTTACAATGAGTGGGTACAATAACAAAATATAAAACAATCACAATGAGATTAAATGGTCTAGTAAGGTCCACTCTGTCCTGGTGGTCCGTAGTTTGAGGACGGTCTGCCGCCACCGCCGCCTCCACCAATGGAAGAGCCACCGGAACCAGACGAGATTCCAATACCTCCCCCCCCGCCGCCAGCTGATGGGGCTCCGTAACTACCTCCTGGAGCGGTACCGCCACCTCCACCACCACCGCCGCCGCCTCCAGCTTGTTTATTGGTCTTGTAACGTATGAAGTAGACTTCGGGCTTGCTGGGCTGAGTGGGGGCTGCGGTAGGTATACTGATTTCAGGCGCATCTTCTGGGCGTTTAACTAAAACGTACACAAGAGTTTTCTCTTCGTTTTGAGCTTGTGCGGGTATCGTAGGGGCAGTGGGGGCGGCCTGGCTGGGCGCCTTGATGAAGATAATTTTGTAATGTTTCGTAGATTGACCGGCGGAAATTGGACGTTGCGGTCTAGCCTCTTCGGGCTCTTCGGGTGCCACGTGGACGTAGATGTGTTTTTGTACGACGGTACCACCGCCGCCGCCGCCGCCGCCGCCGCCACCTCCGCCGCCCCCGAATCCACCTCCTCCGCCTCCGCCAAGTCCACCCCCTCCGCCTCCACCGAGACCGCCGCCGCCTCCAAATCCGCCGCCTCCGCCGAGGCCGCCTCCACCCCCGAATCCTCCTCCTCCGCCTCCTAGACCACCTCCGCCTCCTAGACCACCTCCACCTCCTAGTCCACCTCCGCCGCCGAATCCTCCACCCCCTCCTCCTCCACCGCCGCCTCCTGGAGCTCCGTAGCTCCCGCTAGGCGGGGATGGGGCGGGATAGTTGTAACCTTGGGGCTTGCCATGGCAGGCAGCTATCAAAACTGCTACCTAAAATTGGTTAAAGGGTTTTAAACAACTTTTAAAATTAGTTCTAAAAAACTTCCTATCATTTAAGAGTTCTCTAATACAACAAAAATTTAAACCTAGAACTCAATTGAATATTATTAAAACATTACCTGTTGAATAAGTAAGAGAGTGATTAAACTGCATAAAAAATGCATAATTTCTTTGCCATTATACGACTATTGTAACAGCACCGCTTTGTTAAGTGTTATGTACATAACCAAAACAAGAATGCAACGTGCATACAATTGTGAATGAATCGTCTTTATGCAACTCTGCTCAGAATATCAACAACAATTGAAAAGGATAAGTTACAAAAGGTCCAAGTGCCAATTTAAATGTTTTCAGTTGTACATGTAGATAAAGTCTATGCTATGCCTATTGAAACTGGAAAGGTTCTTGGTGCCATTAATATATTTGAAATTAATTGTCAAATACATTAGATATGGATTAATACTAAGTTTAAAGCAAAAATAGTTATTTATGTCATTAGGTTAAGAAGTAAGGCTTTTTGTGCTAAGCTCAAGGTTTGAAGGCAAAGCAAAGCACAAAAAGGCACTTCTTGGTCGAATGGCATACAACATTTTATCTTCAAAGCACTTTATATAGGTCAATTTAATTCAACATCAAAGCGGCCTAACCTCACTTTTTTGAATCTCATTTATTTATTAGTGCCTAATAATTCGCTAAAGATTACATTAAATGTACAATAATTATTATTGCTTTTAGAAGCAGTAATAGTTTGACAATACCTAGCTACATGATTTAAGTAGAAATTGATTTTTGCTATTACATTGAATTCAATTAATTGTTATCTAGTATATGGTATCTATTTCAATTTGTTTGGATTTTTATTTAAAAAATAGGTAGTTTGGAATGTTTAACATTTAATTTCACTGAAAACTTAAAGATAATTTAAATCGTAGAAAAAGAATCGTGCGTTTTTTTGGTTGCCTAACCTCACTTTTTGTTTTATTATTCATATTTAATTTTACAATAATTTAATGAAAAATATTAAACATTAACAGTAAAACAAACAAATTAGTGCTTATTATAAATAAATTAAACCAGTTTAGTACGTTAATTTCTTAGAAAAGGATTAATTTGTCAAAACAATACCCCTAGCGAGAAAAAATCGAACTAATTACTTGCCTCATAAAATTTTTTATCGGCCTAGGCCAAAACAAGGTATTTCTTTATCGAATGTTGACAACAATAAAGTTTAAATTATAGACCGCGTGGAGATAAAAAAATTAAAACCTAGAACCCAATTGAATAATTATTAAAACATTACCACGGTGGTCAAAACTTAAGTGTAGGACGAACAAAAATGCCAACCAAAACTGATAGCATATTTTGATTATAGATCCTTTTGGTCCTATTTTAAAGTTTTGCAAACTTTTTTGTTTTTCTATTTCTATATATTATTTTGCAATTATTGTACTAAAACTACCTAAACAATTTTAATAAAATTAAGCAAAATAATAAACTTTGTACCATTTAAATTACTTTACTCCCCAGTATTAATTTATTGAGTCACCTATTATTTTTTACCACTAAAAACAAAACATAACAAAAAAAACGAAGATTTATATCTTATCTTAAACATTTTTTATAACAAAAAATACTGGAAGTTTGTCTATGAAATAATTACAACTTGCAAATTTTGTAAAACAATAATTAATGTGGTTATGAAAAAAATTGCTATACGTTATAACGCAAGTGACATTTTGCTTTAGTTGTTTATTTAATGTATACTTTATAAAGTCAAAAATAGTATTTTAAAATGAAAATGAAACCGAAATTCAAGTTAAGCCATGAAGAAAATCGAAAGAAGGTATGTGCTGGCTGTGGAGACAAAATTGTTTTTGGTAATTGAAAAATTCAGAGTTTAGGGTTTCTGAGAAAATATAAAAATTACTGCAGACTTTTTCAAACGAACACTTTAACTTAAGTGATTCAAAATTACCTACTTCAATATGGTAAAAACGGTATTTTTGCATAGCCACAATTGCCAAATTTTCAAAATTTAGAAATTGCTAGAGAATTTCGCGGCAGCCAAGAATGTATGTGCTTTATCTGCAAAATGGCAAGATATAAAGGGCATAAAAAATTATTAAGGGAAGAGGACGGACGAACGAACTAAAGTATTGATATGCTCTTCCTTTCTAGGGGATATCGCTAGATGTAAGAAACATGTTTGTACAGAGACTGAAGAATTTAAAAATACTGTTTCCATGTTAAAAACAATTCCATGTAAAACCCAATAAAAAGTTTTACTGAAAATTTAAGGCAAGCAGTAATCGATTTTGCTTCAAAGAATCTTTAGTTATTTATTAGTTTTGTATTAGGTACCTTAAAACAATAAATAAGATATTGCAAACTGTATTTTACATTATTTTGTATTTATAATGTAATTTATCCATATTTCAGTCATGTATCTGCCAAATTTTTTAAAACATTTGATAATGGTACCAGAGTATTTTATCGAAATGGCATAAACAATTTTAAAATACTAAGAAATATGCAAAACTTTAATAAAGGATCAGCTGGGATTTTGATAAATACATTTTTGTGTTACCAAAAGAGTCTATAATCACATTATGCTATCAGTTTTGGTTGGCATTTTTGTTCGTCCTGTACTTTAGTTTTGACCACCGTGTTATCTGTTGAATAAGTAAGAGTGATTTGTTAAACTGCATTAAAAATGCATAATTTCTTTGCCTTTATCCGACTATTGTAACAGCACCGCTTTGTTAAGTGTTATGTACGTAACAAAAACAAGAATGCAACGTGCATACAATTGTGAATGAATCGTCTTTATGCGACTCTACTCAGATTATCAACCACAATTGAAAAGGATAAGTTACTAAAGGTCCAAGTGCACTTGGACCTTTAGTAACTTATTGGCATGCCAATTTAAATATTTTCAGTTGTACTATGCTCCACACCTCAAAGTCCCACCACGTGACCACGTACGGAACGCAGTCTTTTGAAAATTTGGCATTTAAGGCTTTTCAGGTTATGTATCTGTCAAAGTATAGTCAATGAAAGAAATAATATTTATAGTGTTACCGTTTATGTTTAAGCGTTAAAAGTTAATAAATCTTTATACTATCACAATAACAATGGTTGGTTTAAGAATTTAGGAATATAAATACTGCATTTAATGAAATTCCAAAGTGTAAGGTGCAATATAAGTTATATTTTAGTGCATTGGGTCTACATTTCTCCATAAAATAGTTTTAACTAAACAGCATTTATTAAAAAAAATCTAACTTCTCTATTATGAAATAAGAATATCTGTATCAAAGGTAGGCTAATGTATAAGAACAAAAAATATCATCTAATTTTGTATTTTAAGGTTAGAAAAATCTATTTTGACCAAAATAAATAAGTGGATTATTTGAAAGAGTGTGTAATAAATAAATATAGGTATACTAAACAATTGTTGAATATAATTCAAATTAAATTGAAGCTTTTATACTTCTAACGACAAAACTTGTGCATACCTCTCGGTATACTTACTTTAAGTTAGATTATAAGAAAACAAACAATTTTTAGAGAAACTTGCAATGTGAAAATATTTAAAACTCCCATGACATGTGATTTATTAAAATTTTTAAAGTTATAATGATTTTTTGATGTAGATCAAATTCAGTCGAAGCTTTTTAACTATTTGTATTGACAAAACTTTATGTAGGTACACTTTAAGCTGGATAAGAAAAACTACCACATTTTTAAATACCATATTATACAGTCTTTTAAATAATCCAAAATACTTATTTATTTTGGTCAAAATAAATTTTTCTAACCTTAAAATTTCAAAATTAGATGATATTTTTGTTATAATATATTAACCTACCTTTAATACAGATATTCTTATTCCATAATAGAGAAGCTATATTTTTTTAAATAAATGCTGTTTAGTTAAAATTATTTTATGGAAAAAACCAGATATTTGGACCAAATGCACAAAAATATTACTTATTTGGCACCATACACTTTAGAATTTCATTAAATGCAGTATTTATATTCTTAAATTCTTAAACCATCCATTATTACTCTAATGTTATAAAGATTTATACATTTTTAACGCCTAAACATAATATTATTTCTTTCGTTGACTATACTTTGACAGATGCATAACCTAAAAAACCTTAAATGCCAAATTTTCAAAAGACTGCGTTCTGTACGAGGTCACGTGGTGGGACTTTGAGGTGTGGAGCATAGTACATGTAGAAAAAGTCTATGCTATCCTAATGAAACTGAAAAGGTTCTTAGTGCCATTAATGTATTTGAAAATAATTGTTAAATACATTAGGCATGGCCTATAGATTAATACTAAGTTTAAAGCAAAAAAATATTTTATTCTTCACCAAAAAATATTGTTACGACTTTTGTTAATTATTAGTTGATTTCTGACCAAATTTGTAATAGAATTTTAGGTAGAAAATAGAATTCTTTATACCAGTAAAATTCAATAGAATTCTAACTTGAGTGCAATGTTAAAAAAAAACTTGTTATTTATGGCATAAAACCTTATTTATACATGCTGATTTCCAACAATGCTGTTTTGCCTTATAACGAGTAAGGAATATTGCGAAAATGAACTTGTTTACATTTTTAGCATTAAAAAGTTATGCAAACGACCTACAGATGGGTTTGTTTCAAATGTTTTAATTAGTTTAATAATATAGTGGTAATTAAATGCATTATTATGTATATAGAAAATCATTCTGGAATTGAAATTTTGCATTATTATTAGGTATGTTATTATTTTCGTTGTTATTTTGCAAGAAACAATGCAAAAACTAAAGAATAATATACATTTTTAAGAAATCGTATATTTTATGCAAATTTTATTTTAATTTTACAAAAAATAATTACAATTTTTAACAATGCAAGACATATTTTAGAAACCTTAATTTAGTCTATTGCTTTTTTAGTTTACTTTTGTGGCAAAAATCCTTGCCCACTTTTATTTAAAAAAATGATGATTTAATTCTGATAAATAAATTATGTAAATCAACAATCCTACATTAATATTATTAATATAATCAATCATTTTGAACATTAAAATAAATGTTATTTTGCTTCCTTTTTATGTATAGGGCAAGGTCCTAACTTTAATTAAATTGTAAATGACATACAACCAATTAGATTTACTGAATCATAACTCGTGGAACCAGAAACAAAATAAAATGTAACAATTTGAAAATATGGTCTATTTACAAAATTAAAAAAAAATTACAAAAAACCACTATGTATGTATATGATACCATGGTAATAATGCAAATTTACCAAAATACTTTGAAATATGGTACCAATATTACTATAGGAACCAAAATAAAATATAATTAAAATTACTAAAAATGTTATTTTGGATAAAAAATAAAATGTAATAATTTAAAATATGGTACCAATACTACATTTTTTTGTATCGTAAATAATAACAATAAAAATGTACTTGGTACCAAAATAAAATTTAATAAAAAAATCACTTAGTATTATGGTACTATGCTAAGGGTACCACTTAATGTAAGGTACCAAATGTACCAAAACTATTTTAAAATATGCAATTGAAGACAATAATCAATGTGGTACCACAATAAAATCGGGTACCCGTAGCAAGTACCGTTCACTAAACAACAAAAACACTTTGAAACTCCAAAAATCACTGTCAAACTTTATCACAACTTAAAAAGTAAAACAAATGGTAGCTGGGTACTCACCACCACGAAAACATTCATGTTTGTCGGAAACAATTGAAGACGGTGTGACGAGGTACCATCGGGCAGTAGCCGTTTTTATAGCGCATCTTCAATTGAAAACCCCCCGAACACGGTTCTTTGGTAAAAGAAGAAAAGTCATCTTCCTCTTGTGCGAAAGATGGTGGGTACCGTGTGCAGCTTAACATTTAGACACAAGTGAAATTAGGGTCATAACCTCATCCGAACAGATAAATAAGAGACAATTAAAACCGATTAGAGGATGATAGTAAGATTTTGCCCAGAGGCATTAAATCGTCATAATTGAACAGTACTACGTACACATGTGTATATATATATTTATATATATGCTATTGTTAAAGGATTATAATACGCTTTTAATAAATATTATTTTATTTTTGTTTAATGTGCAACAATCTTAAGTTACATAGTTTTTTTAATCCGTTTTTATATTTGAAGGCGTTTAATTTGTTGGTATTTATATTATATTTTAAGGACTGTCAAGCAGAGTAGGTACTTCTGTATTCGAATTCTGTAATTGAATACATTTTACTTTTAATCTTAATTGAGAACACAATTTTCGTGCAAATAGCGAGAAAATACAGAAAAAATAAAAAAGTTTTTAAACGTTCTTATAAGAAGAACTAAAAACAAATAAAACCACACTAAATTTAACTAAGGATTGCTATTGCAATTGCTATTTCAAACCTTAAAACATCCAATAGAGGAATTAATAATCGTTTAAAATAGGTAATTACCAAAAAAAATAAAACTCTATTATAATATTTATAAGTTTATTATAATCTTAAATGGGTAATTATCTATACAAAATTATACATAAAAAATAAAAGAAATTTAATTCATCGTAATCAGGATATTGTGAAAATAGTATATTCTATGTAACAAAATTTGATTTTTGTTTTGTTTATTGGATTTTTTTGTTAAATTATCAATATTTGTGTACCAAAAAACTATTCTAAATTAATTTAAAAAATGTAGTGATAAGTTTTTATTTTTTTATTCAAACCCAGTTTTATCAAAAACAAAAAAAAATATTGACAAGAAATGGCAAGAAATTTAACTCAGAATTATTATTTTAACAAAACATACAATTTTGAATTAGTATATTCTGTAACAAGTTTGAAGAGTTTGTCACATGAGCCGAAGGCGAGTTTGACGGTTTCACTCGAGCGGAATATGCAATTCCAAACGTGTTTCAGACTATACCTTTTCTACGTTTCCAAAAAATACCATAGAAAAATAATTTAATTGGAAGAAAGTGAGGTTGGATCGGTCTAAAATTTGTTAGATATTAAAAACAGAGATGTCGCCACAAGTGTTTATTCTGTCATCAGATGATAGAATATTTTATTTTCTACTCCTATTATGGAATATGTTCTAATATCACTTTTATCTATGGAATGACATATATTCCGTAAAGTGTTACAGAATGAAATATTCTATCATCTGATGACAGAATAAACACTCGTGGCGACATCTCTGTTTTTAATATCTAACAAATTTTAGACCGATCCAACCTCACTTTCTTCCAATTAAATTATTTGTCTATGGAATTTTTTGGAAACGTAGAAAAAGTATAGTCTGAAACACGTTTGGAATTGCATATTTCCCTCTCGTGAAACCGTCAAACTATGGGTGACTCCACGTCTAACTCGCAGCAGAGCAGCAACAGTAGCCCAGAAGATAAGACCTGAAGATGCTACATGAGGTTGTACCGAAACGTCGTCAGACATACGGTTCTTTTATGAACCAAAAACCGACAACACAGAGCAGATCCCGGAAAAAACCAAACCAAGTATAATTAATTAATTTGTTTCAAAATTAAAACTTTAACTTACATTACCGTCACAGTAGAACAATACAACAGTAAGACAATAATTATTTGTTTTACGAGTGTTGAAAAGCGACTTTTTCATGCGAGTTAAGTTGCTCGCGAGGCCGTCAGGCCGAGTGTTTATTAACAGAAGCTTAAAGAAAGCTTTTGTGAAACACAATGTATCTTCTACGACTCTTTTATTTTTTATTATATTCAAATACAAAACAAAATAACCTAAAAACGTGTTTGACAGCTGTTAAATTTACTTATTCTTTTAATTTTTACGATATAAGTTACTTAAAATTAATAAACTTACCTTTTCAATTTAAATAAAGGCACTAAAAATTAGAATATATAGTAAATTTAAAAGTAAACTACGTACACGTCATCAATCAGCTGATCGGGCACGGTTGTCAATGTGATGCTAAAATCCTTGCATCAAGGGAAAGTGGTAGTGCAACTACAGGGCGATAGATGGCGTTTACATGAATAATACCAAAGTGTCAAAAGTCTGAGTTTTTATAACCTATATGATGCACCGCCAAAAGTATGTTTTTAGCCATTTTTAAAGACATTTTCTGATATAAAACCCAAAAATTTTGCCATCTAAAGTCAGTCTCTGGTATATATATTATTATTTCATGTATCCAACATATATTTTGTTAAATATTCTAATATATAATTAATAATAATCCTATTTACCTCTCTAACAGCTGTTAAAGGTAACAAAGGTCCATTATTATCCCGTTCTGCCTCAAAATAGCGTATTAAGGATGACACCAACTCTTGACTCCGACTATTTAAATGCTTCGGCATTTTAAATATAGGAAACACAAAAAAACGTTATAACAAACACAAAAACGGCAATGAAAACTTAAACGATATAAAATAACACAAACAACAAACAAAATAAACGAAATAATACACGAATTAAATGAAATATTCAAAAACACAACTGACAGCTTCGAAATTCTAAAACTTCAAATTCTTTTTTATGTGTCATTTAAATATGAAAAATTTGAATGTAAACATGACAACATCACAATTGTTGCCAACTTAATTTGGTTAAAATGCATTCAAATATTCAATTACAGACTCGAATTTAGTCATTTAGTGTTGGTACCAATGCGTAAAATTTTTGTTTTATTGATGACGTGTACGTAGTTTACTTTTAAATTTACTATATTATACAAACACAATTAATTTTGTTCTAAATGATCTTTAGACATACACATACAAATACAATACAAATTTTGAAACGAATGTCAAACAATGCTGTCAATTTATTTTCACACAGACCTGTCACTTTTCACACAAAAATGTCACTTTACATTCGTGTTTTGCCTTGCCAATGAAAAGATTCATTTTCTAAGCAACGATGCCTTTACGAAAAGTGACTTTTACATAGTGGTCGTAGAAAAAAATATATGAATTTCTGTTTTTTTAGGTACCACCCACCAAAAAAGGCTATAAACAAAGGTGTGGGGTAAAAGGCATAAGTCAAAAAAAGCAATTTTTCAGTGGAGCCTTAAAACGCATTTGCATTAATTCAGAAAATTTGTTGGTAGCAAAATCGATGTCGTTTAACCCTCAAAATTACATTTTAATGACATAATAAGAAAATCAAAACTCGCTAATAAATAGTCAAGCAAGAAATTTTACGCTTTACAAAAATGTGTTTTTTTTTCGTAAAACCATCTATTTAAAAGAATATCAGAGGTCAAAACTTAAACAGTTACGTACAACGTAAATTCATTAAGAATTCTTAATGCCATGCATTATTTTATTGATTTCTTAATTGAAAGATTCATTATTGTATCACTGAAAAATAACAATTTGATTTAAGAAGTTCGTACAATAGTTTGTTTTCTAATTTATACAAATTATTTTTGCAATACTTTCCTATTCTCTTCGCAAGAAGAATAATAATAATTTTCATAACGGAGTAACATCATTTTTTGCATAGCAAGATTTATCATTTGGCAATTTCATATGTTCCGAGTGTTTTACTAAAAGTTGCGTAAATGTTTTAAATACGTTTTGTTGGTTAAAATTCTGGAAAGGTAAATCTTATTATTATAGGTTTATACAGGGTTTCACAAAAGGATTTGTACCATTAAAGAGATGCAATCAAGAAAATTGCATCCCAATTGAATTTGCTAACTCCGTTATTATTGGAGCTGCAATGTCAATTGAATTAGCAAATTGGTGGCATTTTTCTTCACTTTGCTAATATAACGCCGTGTATAAAGCTTCTTTCTTTTTTTAAGGTCACTGTTACAATCAAAAGCCAAATTTTTAATAACCACTTCTTTATAAAATCCCACGTAATAAATATAATTAATAATTTAAAAAAAGTGTTGAATTAAATCTTCGAAGAATACAAAGGGAAATTTTAAATAACTGGTATTGCATAAAACCAATTAAAGACGAATTAAATGTCATTTCTTTTATATGCTAAGCTAAATAAAAAAATGCATTAGCAATAATTATGGATAATGAGTTATAAGTATTTTATACTTCTTTGTTTCGTTTTTCGTTTTAAAAAAGTATTTTTAAACTATTAATTTAGTTGTCCCGTTGGATGTAATTCCGCCATATTGAAATTTTTTTGAGAACGTAAGGACACATTTAGATGAAGTTTCGGAAGATAGGACGAGGAGGGCCAATTCCGTGGCCTCCTCGCTCTCCAGATTTAAAATCATTGGAGTATGCAGTCCCAATTTATATCGTTGAGGAATTAATGTTGCGGGTTGTAAATGCTTGTAAATTTATTAGAAATAAACCTGGATTTTTCGAAAACATTAGAAGATCTATGAAAAAACGCCCAAGGCCTTGGAAAAACACGAAAAAAACAACTAGAATTTAGACATTTTTAATATTAAATAATTTCTTGAAAACGGTTGGCTCCATGAATGTAACAAGAGCAGCTTTTTTACGTAAAATTATATAGAATTTTGTTAGGATTTTTTCCCCGAGTAGCCCCCGTTTCCGACGCCTATGGTCATTTAAACTAGATGAATTCTTGCCCAAAAATTTCACCAGAAATAAAGTATCAATATTTTAAAAACCGTTTCTGAAATAGTTTATAAAACCTGATTTTGCGAAACAGTTTAAAATGCCTATAGCGCCCCAAGGAGGCATTTTCAGACATCTGTTCATAGCAACTTTTTCTTTTATTTTT